ATACCCATTTACCCGTCGTTGAATTTTCCTACAACAACAGTTATCACACGAGCAAAAAGGCAGCTCCATTCGAGGCCCTCTATCGCCAAAAGTGCAGATCCCTTTTGTGCTAGGCTGAGGTGGGTGATACCCAGTTAGCTAAGGGACGAGTTCCCGAGAGCACTCTCACGGATCCGTAGATCATTCGGGAAACGACAGAGAAGATTGTTCAAATTCGTCAACGATTGAAAGCCTCTAGAGACCGACAGAAAAGCTACGCTGACAAGCGAAGGAAACCATTGGAATTCTAGGTGGGCGGCCGAGTCCTACTGACGGTCTCACCCTGGAAGGGCTTGATACGCTTTGGAAAGCGTGGGAAGCTCACTCCAAGATACATAGGGCCTTTCAAGATTCTCACAAGAATCGGCCCTGTAGCTTACAAACTTAACCTACCGCACGAACTCAGTAACATACATCCTAGCTTCCACGTCTCAAACTTGAAAAAGTGTCTGTTTGACGAGACTCTTGCTATTCCACTCGACGAGATCGAGATCAATGAGAGCCTCAAATTCGTGGAGGAACCAGTAGAGATCATGGATCGAGAGGTCAAGCAAACAAAGCAGATTCGTATCCCGATAGTGAAGGTTCGCTGGAACGCAAAGCGTGGTCCTGAATTCACTTGGGAACAAGAGGATCAGATGAAACTGAAATACCCTCATCTTTTCGCTTAGTTAATTGTAACTTCTTATTTTCTTAAATTCTAATTTCAGGACGAAATTATTTCTAACGGTGGGATGATGTGACAACCCAGAATTTCCATTATGTACAAACAATATCACTTCAATAGAAGTTATAACAGTCACAGTTAATTTTCAGACTTTTTCGTGTAAGTTTGAGAAATTTAGGGTTTACACTTCAGGAAATATCAGGAGAGTGGATGCACTAGGGTTTAGTGCAACTCTATTATTCCAACACTCTATTATATTAGAGATCATTTCGGGAATAAAATATTTTCTGCCAAAAATCTCAAGACTATAAATAGAATTCTGAACCAAATTCATTCATTATTCACATTTTCAACTAGAGAAAAGCCATTTTCTCTCTCATGGATCTTCGGGTTTTTATCCCAAAACGTGAGTATCTCTTGCTAGTAGTGTTATACAGCTTATTATGTGTTAATAACATAGATTACATAGCTAAATAACTAGATTTAGGAGTTTACTCCCTAAGGTGTTCTTGGGCGGTAAACTCCCGAAACAATGCCTAGCCTTTCCCCCGTGATATGATACTACCTTGGACTTGTATTGAAGTGTATTAGGGACAAGCAAATAACAAAGAATCACCCAAGTTTATGTGTTCAGGGCCCAAGATGATCTTGGACCGTGAACTCCAAAATCATGGATAAAAGGGTGCTTTTAAGGCACCTAAAGCCTTAGACAATTACTAGGAATTGTTTCCACATAAATCAAGGACCAAAACACATCCAAGAACCCCCTCATTTGAGATTTTATGGCCCTAATATTGTTCTTGGGCCGTGAACATCAAACAAAGGCACCAAAGTGTGCCTAAGGCCTTCATATGCTTGGGATAAAAGTCAACGACCTACACCACATGTGCAAGAGACTTGAAAGCATCAAAAACACCATTCCAAGGGAGTTTACGGCAGTAAACGCCAAAGGAAATGGCCGTAGGGTCGTAAACTCCTCTAAGGAGTGTTTCTATGCCTTAAACCCTTCCAAGAATTTACCCACAAAGTTGGAATGCTTCTAGGGATTATTTAACACCTTAAAACAACCAAAGACACTAAGCCTTGGAGCTTACGTCCGTAAACTCAAAAGTTTACAACCATAAACTCCATGTGTGAGGTTATATGGAGAGTAAACAAAAGTATAGGGTCCTTTGGAACCCTAAACCCAAGTGCCTTGTCCCACAATAGCTTAGATGCAATCCTTAGGGCTTATAACACTTATATAAAGTGTTTATTATGTTCTAGGATGTCTTAACATTATCAATTAGTAATTTAAGACTAATTGAGTGCATATATGTGTGATTATATGTTCATTAGGATCGTAGTGTGTGTACAAGTCCTCACTTGACACCTAACAATCCTACACCGTCCAGTTCATCCAAATCACCATCTACATGTGAGTTCATACCCCTAAATGAATATTTTAAATATTTTTAAATGCTTTAATGGTGGGAATACAATTAGAAAACAACATGTTATTAAATCACTCATATGTATTTTATAACTGTTTTTTCATCCAGTAGATTTCACATACTACAAAACGTGATGCACGAAATGGTTTTCCAACTTAAAAGACCTTGATAACAAAAGTATTAGTTTTGAAATGTTTATTAACATGACATCAAGTCACTCTTAATTATTATTCAAAACTCTTAGATACCTTGCAAAACCATTACGTTTACCTTCTTGAACAACCAATTACCTTTCAGTTAATTATCATAGGGATAGTTAGAAGAAACAAAACATTATTCCTATTACAAGGAATCACACAAGATTCAGTTCATTCATGAGTCAATACCAGTACATTACTCGATACATGAGTACATTTACATATGATTACATGATACATGAGTACGTTTACATATGCTTACATGATACATGAATACGATACATGAGTACTGTTACATAGATACATTATCCTATATTCACTTACCTGGATACTTTTACCTAGAGTTATGAGGAAGATTTATTCGTACCTTCTATGTACATTTTGCTGCCTATCCCTGTTCGACGGGATGTCTAGACGGAACTAACCATTCCGGGACCCAGCTGTTAGCACCACTGGGTGATGAACATCCACGGATGTCTAAGGTTATCACTTATAATAGATAGAATTATATCGGAACTAACCATTCCTCCATCCTACTGTTACAAAAGAGGATGAGATGAAAATATTCGGATGATCATTAGGTTACCACTTATATTAGGAGTCGGCTACGGGACTAACCCTTCCTCCAACCTATTGCTACTACAGAGGACAATTGGACAATCTTCGGATGTTCATTAGGTTATACATATCGCTTACTGCGATGGCATGTTAGTCCTGGTATCCAGGGATAACACTTACATGGTTATATTTTTCCTGTTTACTTTATTTTGTGATATATTCACATAAACGAAGAGTTAGACTAATTATTGTTTGTAGTAGTCAAAAAGAAGGAAAACTATCATTTTACTTACAAAACATTCGGGTCTTGGTAGAAGACTACATTATCATAAAAAAACATTTGGGTCTTGGTAGAAGACTACATTGTAATAACAAAACATTCGGGTCTTGGTAGAAGACTACATTGTAATAACAAAACATTCGGGTCTTGGTAGAAGACTACATTGTAATAACAAAACATTCGGGTCTTGGTAGAAGACTACATTTCATACTAATAGGAAATAAGGGATTTCTTAGGGTTTTTCATACTTATATCAACTGTCTTACTTAAAGGTTTTACATGACATTCATAACAGTTTATCAAAGCAAGACAATGACACTTCAATACTTATGAATTCACCAGCTTTAAAGCTGATACTCTCTTTCAAAATAACTTGTATTCTCAGGTCACCAGTAGACAGGTACGATGGCTAGGTTTTGAGAAGACGGAGCACAGACAAGTCTCGTCTTTTATTTTGATTGTATATTTTTTGTGTCTTATTACAATGAAAGAACACACATGTATTAAAACTTTACTTATAATGCAATGGATGATGTTGTTGCTTATTTACTACTTCACGCTGTTGTGATATTGTACATGATGTCCTCCACCCCGGAACGTTTCCGCCGTTCTTGGTTTTGGGGTGTGACATTCGGGTTGTAAAGCTTCCAGTTGAGCCTCCTTAATTTGTGTGGATATGTGGGAATGGACTGTCATATTCAGAGATTTGACTCTCCCACCAGTGTATTCTTTTTGACTAAGGGCGTCAGCTACTACATTGGCCTTGCCATGATGATAACGAATCTCGCATTCGTAATCATTGATTAACTCAACCCATTGTCGTTGTCGCATGTTGAGCTCCTTCTGATCAAAAATGTGTTGAAGGCTCTTGTGGTCGGTGTAAATGGTACTCTTCGTTCCGTACAGATAGTGTCTCCAGATCTTTAAAGCAAATACAACTGCTCCTAACTCAAGATCGTGTGTTGTATAGTTTACTTCGTGTGTCTTAAGCTGGCGGGAGGCATAGGCAATAACCTTCCCTCGTTGCATAAGAACACAACCAAGTCCTTGATTTGATGCATCGCAATACACCACAAAATCATCTATCCCTTCAGGGAGGGATAGTATCGGTGCGGTTCACAAGGCCTGTTTCAGTGTTTGGAACGCCTTCTCTTGTTTTGCTTCCTAGTCAAAGACCACGCCTTTATGGGTTAATGTAGTAAGAGATTTCGCAATGCTAGAGAAGATCTTTATGAGTCTGCAATAGTAGACATCTAGACCTAGAAATTGATGAATCTTTGTAGGTGTCTTTGGTGCCGACAAGTTCTTAATGGCCTTAATTTTGGAGGGGTCCACATGTATCCCTTTTTCGCTAACAACGTGGCCCAAAAATCACTACTAGAAAAACAACCTTTTACGACGCTCATTGCGCGTCGTAAAAGGCTCAGATGAAGCGCAAATGCGGGTCAAGGAAGGCCCTGTCATAAGAGAGACGACGCGCTTTTGCGCGTCGTCTATAAAAGACGCGCATTTACGACGCTCATTTACGACGTGCATTTACGACGCGCATATACGACACGCAATGCGTGTCAAGGAAGGCCCTGTCATGGAGGAAGACGACATGCATTCGCGTGTCATGACCTCACGACGCGCGTGTTAATGACACGCAATGCGTATCAAGAAAGGCCATGTCATAAATGAAGATGACACACATTTTTGCGTATCATAATTTTAAATGTTTAAAAAAAATATTATTTATAGATTTACTAATTTTCAAATTAAATAATACATTAAAAATCTCATAATACAAAATAAAATACCATAAATAACAAAGATAATTCATTTCACTAATATATCAAGTACAAATAATTATTCCAATAGTGAGTAAATGTTATTAAAAAATGAACTCATTTATATACAATTGCATCATCTAGCTTACTATGTGCCAACAACTCTCTGTGTGCCAACAACATTAGAATATATTCGGATATGGGGTTACAATGTTTTCATGTCTTCATACTCGAGCATGTAGAGTTGAACGATCGAAATGGTATGCATGTAGCCGGTTGCAGGAGCTTCAGGTGGAGCTATTCGCAATCCTTGGCTTAAAATACCAATATAGTTTGTCAAACGAGAACCTATTAAGAACAATAGATTTCATTAACATCCATGCAAAAGATAGTAATGCCCTTCTCATCTTGCATGAATGATATAACTTAACAGAAAAGGTTTGAAGCTACAATACCATGCTAAAGGAGAATCTTGTTCTTGATTGTATTTTTATATGGAACAAACTTATCAAACCTATGAAAACTTCTTCCAGCTCAAGTGCCCAATCCTACATTTTACAAAGTACAAACAAGGCCTCCTAGCAAGTTCTTTCCTACAACCAGAGTACAATGTCAATTTCATGTCAGATATTATAAAAAGACAAAATGAACAAATCAACAAACATATGACATCATTAGACAAGGAATCAGAAAAAGGTTTACCTGTAAAATTCAGCAAATAAATCTTTATCACTGATGTAGGAAAGCAACTTTACTACCTGCAAATTAGTTCAAAAACTCAATCACTTCTGCTTACCATTTGCTGCATAGGAGACTTTCGATGATGATGATGAGGGCATTTACGTATTTTGAGCAAACAAAATTTTAACATACCTTCTCAAGCGTGTCCACAACGGCTTCATCGTTCAATTTCTCACTTCCACCATTTTTAAGAGTATTATCACAAAATGTAGCAAGTACCTGGATAAATTTTTTTTTATATATTAATAATATTATCACACTTAAGGTTGGTTAATATATTATAAGTTCTGCAGCTAGATTGTGAATTTCAAGCACCTGGATAAATTATTTTTTAAAAAAATAAATAAATATGGATATATGAAAAGATATATAATGTAGTAACAGGATTTTACCATGTCATGAGACCTATCAACTGTAATAACCTCTCCTTTATCTTTCATAAGGGAAGCAATTGCAGTTGTTTTCCACCGGGGGCAGCACACATGTCCAATATTCTTTCTCCCTCTTGTGGATCTATAAATATATGAATTGCCAGAATTACCCCTCGTTGACAATCAGAAAGAAGAAAACAAAGATGTATATATATAGACATACCTAAGACATGTGTAGTGATGATGCTTGACTGGTTTTGAAGAAATATGTCCCCCTTCATCACATTTGTATGTAGTAATTTTTTATTAATGAATTTCAAAAGAACTTAGGGTAAAACCGTAAAAGAAAAATAAAAAATGTATACCATTAAAGGATGTTAATTTAAAAACTCTATCAGTCATATCCACAGCAAGACCTAATAATCCATGAAACATTCCTGCCCTTGACATGGTTGTGGTTCCTTGACTAATATATAATCCATCTCTTGCAAGATATTGAGGATCTACGATAGATATATAACAAGTGTTATAATTTATTTATAGAGAAGTAAAAGTAAGTAAGTTGAATGAAGAGAGAGAGAGAGAGAGAGAGAGAGAGAGAGAGAGAGATACCTGTTTTGAGTCCTTGTAGGACAATGCCACGTGTGATTCCAATAGCCCATCCATTGTCATGACTAGGCTGTTCAACACCAACTGAAACTGCAACTAAATCCCATTTCTCAACATGAGCACTGCGTGCTAATATACCTGGAACATATACCTACACAAGTATCACAATCAAACATCAAAATCTGAACACTTTCTAGTGTACCTAATCAATAATGTTGCACATTAATAATAAAGCTAATAGTATTTCTCATGGTCATAACATACTCCTTTAACTATTTAGTCACTAAAGACCAATAAACCCACAAACGAGAATAAGAGAAAGATGACAAGAAAAAGGAAAAGAGAACGCAACTGCAAGAAGAATGAAAATGAGAAATTGGGTACCAAGTGAATGTTAACCATTCATAAAAGAAGAAACATAATATAAGATTACAAGCCCGAATGAAAAACAACGTGTGATCATTTGAATAGGATGATGATGATGATGACAAAATGATTAATATAACAATTTCAATTGTTGCTTACCTGAGCACCTCGAAGAACTGCCTCTGCACACTTACAGATGACAATTATCTCCTTAGGAGGTCTGTCTTGCTGATAATCATACTGAATATCATGTGGGCCTAAACCCTTCACAAATACAACATAGTCTAGCCCAGGTATTTGACTCTTTAAAACACTTAGGGATTCTATATCACCATTCTTTACAGTATCTTGCAGCCTCTTATCGCATTGAATTTCCAGAATCTTCTCAATAACAGCTTTAGTTGTTGTGTTCAATGTGTTTACACGTATTCAAATCAAGAGAAAGCCAGCAAGAAAAGAAAACAGATATCCAGCGTTGACATCGATAAAAGATATAATATGATCAACTTTATATCATCAGAAGTAGTTTTTAAAATAGTCTTGTTTCCATTACAGGCATCTTTAGCAGAAGCGCAGCAACATCTATGGCTAAAAGTACCCTTCTATGCAACCCTGTAGCTACAGCAACATCTATGGCTAAAAGTTGGGTACCCTGCAACACATCCTGTTCATAAAAACATAATATGATGAGTCACCGAGGGTAATATTGTCATTTGAGTAAGGAGGAAAGGAGTTAACGAATTATTATTATTATTATTATTATTATTATTATTATTATTATTATTATTATTATTATCATTATCATTATTATTATTGTGGTGCTTCCTTTCAACTTTTTCATGGACCTTCCGATTATATTCTCTTTCTCCTATGCTTTCACTAGTTGAACCCCTTCAGGATCTTTAGGATAACTAGTCATTTTAAGTGCAAAAAAAGCTTTTGAGGCTCATGCAAAGGTATTCAATGTTTCTTGTTTCTTGACTTGAATTTTATTTTTTTCTGAGAATAATATATTATTGACACTAGAATTGTAATTGGTTTCATGATCAGATGGTAGGTACTCAATTTAGACCATCTTATTATAACCTGTGGTCAACTACCTAATTTCCAAGTCTGCAGAATCTTGACTTAATAAGCGGTCAACGGATCTTCAATAAGCCAATAAGTCAAGAATTTTCTTCAGGTGAATCAGATGTCAAACCAAAACGATGCCGTGTATGCCAAAGACCAAAAGTCAAACAGTTGACCAAAGAGTTAAGCCAAGCTCAAGATAACTCATTGTATTTGACATTAACTGTGTGACCATTCTCAAGTTACATTGTAGTTCAAATTTTCTCTGTTTCATACCTGTCGTGCGATTTTACTATGAAAGGCAATGAAAGAAACATGACATCAGATGCTGATATGGAAATAATATCCTGTAAATTTAGCAAATAAAAAAATTAAAAACTCCTGAAAATAAAAGTGCAGAATAAGATAGTGTCTAGTAAAATTACTAACATTTCCATTTCTTTATTGATTTGTTTCTATAGACAAGAATCTAAGTTTATTGATTTGTTTCCATAGACAAGAATCTTGTTGGCAAAGGTCATGATGATGAAATTCTTCTAAACCTCAAGTCAGATTCTACTTAACATCATGTCTTGGTGCACCAATGAGTCTGATCATGGTATGTTGTTCTTTTGGATTCTTGTTCTCCATATAAACAAGGCATGTACCTTTCAAGATTAATGCAGGCTGTTTAATAGAATTGATCCTTGAAAAGCTAGAGACATGTTTGAAGCATATTAATCTATACATTTTTCAAATAATGGACTGAACTTGTTTCATACTCAAAATTATGCATCTGTTCCATTAATTTAAGCTTTGAAATTTAGTTAGTTGTAATCGAAACCATCATCTTCTTTTATAGGTGCTTTTATCGAACTTATACAACAAATGCAAGTAAAAGGCGTGCAGGTAATATTTGCAGTTATAAATGTCTATAAATAAAAAAAAACACAAACCAAATTAAATGGATTGTGTATGCAGGTTGAAGAGTTATATTCCTTAGATCTTGATTCTCTAAACAGTCTTAGGTACATATATTCAAACTAATCTAACTCCTCTGTTAGGTTACTGCATAGTTGAAGAAGAGGAACTCCTGGTATACAAATACATGTCCAATGGAACTTTATCATCAGCTCTGCATAAAAAACGAGAGCTTGTTAGATTGGCCTACAAGGTTTAGATTGCTTCAATTGTAGTAAGAGGTCTGAAGAAGGGTATAAAGGTAATTTAGTCGATATGGAGAACATTGGTCAGCTGAGTAAGTCAACGACTGAGAATGAGTTGTAGTGGTGTTGTTGAGGTGTGTCAAGATCATGATAAACATACCTTAATCAGCCCTAGGGCTTGGAAACTTGAGCCGTCGTTCCAGTCTCCGGTGAGGTGAGGTGAGCCTAAGGTCTCCGGTGGAAAGAGGTGAGCTAAGGTCGCTTGTAGGTGAGGAGAGCCGAGGTAGAGAACGTTTCATAGAGCACTCCATGAAAAAAGCCCTAGATAATGGTCCCATTGATTTTTTGATAAGATAAATAGTCTATTCAATGAAGACGAGGATTAGAAGACGACGTCGAATGAATTTTTCAACAGTGAGGGCAAGAACGTTCATCGAACAAACCATACCGTTTCATCCTCCTCATGAGAGCTTTGCATTTGAAGATTCTTCGTGGATCTTTTTCCTTAAGAGTTAGAAGCATTATCGCAGCATTACGGATTTTGTTGAGTCGTTCCTTTTCAACTTTGCATCGTAGACTGTATTCTCCGTTCAATTTCAACTTTGCGTCTAGTCTTTCCTTTTCATTTGAGCGTCGATAATTAGGGCAAGAGGGAAAGGAGAAAAAAAAAAGGAAGGCGGGGTTTTTAATTTTTAGGATTTCATTTTCCCCCTGGTTATTAAGGGATGGAACGCGCGTTCCATTAAAATTTATAAAGCGACATCCATAGACGACGCACATTTTATTATAGGTGCCCTCCGTGTTTTTTTTTTGGATTAGACACTAATTTAAGGGCACTCGGTAATGCGCGACCTAAATCCTTAAAATTTTTAAAGAGATGACAATTTTTTAATGTCGCTCTCTAATGCGAAACATAAATCAAAGAGCGTCGTGTTTTGCGTGTCGTAAAAGGGTCTTTTTCTTGTAGTGAATTCGACTCTTCGAATCCAAAATTCAAATTTAGAGAACTTCGCATAGAGCTTCTCTGATCATAGTGTTTCTAAGACTCTTCGTGGGTGCTGACTATGTTCTTCCTTACTTCGCGAGTAGATAAGTATATCATCGATGAAGACGATGATGAACTGATCCAAGTAAGGATGGCACACTCTATTCATTAGGTCCATGAAGACTGTTGGTGCGTTGGTTAATCCGAACGGCATCACTACAAATTCGTAGTCTCCATAACGGGTTTGGAAGGCTGTCTTGGGAACGTCTTCCTCTAGCACTCGTAATTGGTGATATTCGGATCGTAGATCTATCTTCGAGAAGTAGCTCGCTCCTTGAAGTTGATCAAATAAGTTGTCAATGCGGGGCAGTGGGTAACGATTTTTGTAAGTTTTGGACCCAAAATAGCCACTGTTTAAAGTTGTTTTAGCACACTTGAAACCTGTATCACTTCCGTGTTTCTTTCATATTCCAAAATTCAGATTTTATCTTTTCAGAATGTACTTTTGAAAGTCCAAACGATTTTTCTACAATTTTAAATGATTTTTACATAACTGCCTATCAATACAATTAAATTCTGACCAGCTGGTGAAAAATGTGATTTTCACCTAAGTTATAAGAAACAACAGGTTATGTAAAAATTAATGGATAAACTAGATTCAAAATGGAAACTTTGAAACTTTGCAGATCATTAATTCGATTCTTAGTGATTTTTATATAATTTTTCCAATACAGGGAAAGATTTGTAATTTTTGCTGAATTTTCCAACTTTCGATTTCAAAGGCTTTTTGACCACTTAGCACATTAATCCATCACTAAAAACACCCATAAGGGTAAAATTAGCCTCTTAACATACGTGGCATGCCAAACTATAAAATATCAATCCCATTCACAACCCACTCATCAAGGTACAAAATATTTGGTGGAAAACAAAGTAGGTTGCACAAATAGGAGCTTGGATTTCTTCCACCACCAATTCTCATAGAAGGACTTTGAAAGATTGTTTTCAGGCTTATTGGGTGACTCAAAACATGATTTAACCTAAACAAACAACAAAAAAAAAATTATGATCACTCTTGTATTTATTTCTTTTTCTTTCTGTCTCTATTATTAGTTTGTGAGTATGCAGAAAGCAATTTTTCTAACTCCTTGGACATGCTTGAGGATAAAAGTTTAAAAATAGAAGATTATTTTGACTTACCAACATGGTCAGGTGATGAACATGGTGCTAGGGTTCTTATTAATGTTGATAGCTTTGGTGTTGTTGGAGATGGAGTTTCTGATGACACAAAGGTGAATATACATATATAGTTTTTCTTGAGTGTATTGATGGAGTCATTAAGGGGATTCTTTTTATTTTCATGTATGTTACATAACAGGACTTTGGAGATGCATGGAAGGAAGCATGTTTTACAGATTGCATTCACGAGAAGCAGTGCAATATATAATGATAGATGCATGAGAACTCAACTATAAATATGGAAGAACAAGACTCGGAAGAAGAACAAGGATCTCCAAGTGGATATGATTCAAAGTGTCATCCAACAACTCCTCTATCTGGTCAATCATAATTGATAACGGTTCATGTTCGAATTTTCTTTAATTTTTGTATTTGTCTGAATCCTGGTGTGATGGTTTTAAGTAAATCACATGTAACTCATATCACATGTAATTCACATATGAATTACATGTGATTCACATGTAATTATGAATTACATGTGATTCACATATTGTAACACCCCAAGTTCAAAAGTTCAAGTTCAGGGTTCTTAGTGTAAAAATGGAAGGCGGACTCGGCGAGTCGATGGATAGACTCGGCGAGTCGAGTCGCGATTTTGGTCACACGTTAAGTGATCGACTCGGCGAGTCGGAGGCTAGACTCGGCGAGTTGGTGCTGAAGAGAGAAAACCCCTAATCTTTGGGGTTGCACACTATTTAAAGGACTTAATGCGCTCCCCTCAGTCCCTTTAGCCCCTTTTGAAGTACAGAAACCCTAAATCCGTTTGTGAGAGCATTGGAGAGTATTTGGAACCTTGATAACTGCTTGGTGAAGAGATCTTTGAAGATTAAGAAGATTGGAGCAAGGGGATTTGAAGAGATTTGGTTCATTCTTCAGTTGGAGCTTCCTTTTGAGGTAATAATTCGTTGCTTGAGCTTTTGTGCATCTAGATCTATCAATTGCGCGGTTTTTGGGGCATAAATGAGGTCCATCTCGAGTTTGGTGTAAGATCTGAGGTTGCTACCTCAGATCTAGGCTTGTAATGACCCTAGGAGCCATAAAGTTTATGATCAAGAGATGTAGGTGAAGTTCTTTTGTCCCAAGCCTTAGCCAAAGAGTGTATTATGCTTAGATCTCTTTGGATTCACCTAAAGGTTTCCACTTTACATGATGGATGGGTTGTAGGGGAGTGGATCTATGGATTGGAGCCCCTACATGGCATGGAAATCCACTGTATGGATTAAGAACTAGAGGTACTCGGCGAGTCACATGGGTGAAATCGGCGAGTTGGATGAAGATAAGCAGGAACACGACGAGTTGGAAGAACAACTTGGCGAGTCTGTTGAAGATTGCATTGGACTCAGCGAGTCTTTTCTAGGACTCGGCGAGTCTGGTCGTGGAATCCTAACCTTTTCTGGTTAAGTCGTGAATCGGTGAGTCGACGGGTGACTCGGTGAGTTGAGCATGAAGGGACTCAGAGTTTGTGGGAATCGGCGAGTCTTGGGGCGACTCGGCGAGTTGGGTCGCGATATGGGAGTGTTCAGGACCTAGGGACTCGACGAGTCAGCAGGCTGACTCAGCGAGTAGAGTCAGTAAGGAAGTTTGACTTTGACTGAGGACTTTAACTTTGACCAAGAGTTGACCAGCTGACTTCCA